CTTTGGGTAGCCAATTCTCCATGCTGATGCACTCTTTCGTGCGTTTTCTACACCCCCATCGACAGAGAAAGGGGATGTTTATTTCTATCCATTCCCGAAAGGCGTCCCGCACGGTATGTCTTTCAATCGTCTTTCAAAAACTTCATTGAGCAGCTGGATATCTGTAGTTAGCAAGGCCGAAACGTTAATCTATCTCGAGGAACAACGCAAGCGCCCCAATCTTCTTCCTTTTGCGGTGATAGACTCTGCAAGTGGAGAATTCGCTGGGATGATGGCGTGTGTTTCTTTTCCCGTCTGACAAACATATTATTTATAGATATTTATTTCAGCCTAGGATGTGATCTCTGCAAGGAACGCTCGATGTCAAGCTCAACGCCATTAAAATCGTCCCAAATTTCAGAGGAACATACGTATTTAGACACGCGTGCTATCTCATGTTATCCTATGCCTTGAATCTAAAGATGGAGGGTGGATTGGGGTTGGTACGTGTAGGGTGGAGAACGCCGCCCGGGAATGTGCAAAGTCAGAAGGCTGCTGCGAAGATGGAGTTTACCAGAGAGGGAGTAATGAGGTAAGAACCTTATTTTCTTTGACATTTTTCGGTTACATTAATTTTGGATTGAAAGATGTCATGAAGTTTCGGGAAATATACCGAACGATACACTATACACCGACGCCGTTGTCGTCCTAGATGGTTCAGGGAGGAAAACAGAGGATGGCATGGTGTTCTTGATGACTATGTTTGATTGGCTGGCTGAGGGAAAGAAAGGGGCTTTGAGGCAAAAACTATAGATACAAATTTAATTCGATTTCGTTATATATTTCCCTACAGAACGATTAATAACATTTTAATATGAGATTCAAAGAGAACTCGCCTAAATATCTACTTCAGTCCGTAGAGATCAGAAAACGGGTCCCACTTTGAGTCTTCGTGCCTCTTATACTCAAGATAGTTGGAAATCTTCTCTGCGTGTCCCTTCCCATAGATCTCTGCAATAAACGCGAGCATTGCATCCATACCTGCAGATACACCAGAAGATGTCCAGATATTCCCATCAACTACCCACCGTGCGTGTGTAATCCAAGTAACTTGTGGACGCAGGGCAATAGTTTTCTCCCACTCCATCTTATTCGTAGTAGCCTGCTTCCCATCGAGCACTCCTGCACGAGCGGCGATTCCAGATCCAGTACAGACGGTAAATAGATATTTCAAGGACGGGTAGAGTTTCGCGATGAAGTCTACAACAGCTTGATCTGCTCGGCCTCCCGGGACAATGAGCACATCGAGAGGCGGTGCTGTTTCGAAAGTGTGAGTTGGTACGATGGACTGTGCGAAGTCGGATTTCTTGGGATTCTCATCATCCGGAGGACGAGTAGATACGGGATCCAGTGTAGCAGCGATGATATATAGGTTGAGGTGGTATTCGAATGCAAGACTATTGAGCGGGTCAAGGGATCCGAACACGTCCAGTGCTTGGAAATAGGGGTATAAGACTACCCCATAGTTGACGGGTGTATCGACTTAGCAGAATCAGATTTTAGTTTTATGACTTCGAAGATTCGAGGAGACCTTTGGGGATAGCAGATTGTCCAGAAACAGTCGGCATTATCAGAGTCGTAGATCTGTGGAATCATAAAGCCGATTGATTCAATCGATGACTTGGTGGAATACAATGTTCTTACCTTCAAGATTTGTCTCCAGTTAGTCCTGCTCTTCGATGCCTAAACGATCTCAAAATACGGAATAGAGATCTAGCGTAGCTGTTGAGAGCAAATGAAGGAGATCCGGAGGCCCGTTGTTTGGCAAAAATGCCTCGCGGGATGGCCGGCATCATCACTTTCATGGCTAAATTGCCGCAAACAAAGGCGACCCATTATAAATGCCAGCGCGGTACAAATGCCTCTCATTCTTCCACCCTCCCCAGCTCTTTCACAAATCTTCACCCCTCCTCTCGTCTACTCTCATCCTATGGCTGTCTGTTTGTCTTTCGCCCAGTGCTATTCACGTCCACGGCCTTCACAGGTCGAATTCAAGGCATCAAGGTTGTCCTAGTACAAGCTCTATACTTCAAGATTTGAGGTTATCTCGCTGAAATCATTGGATCGACTACATTGTATGGACGTCGGTGGGCGCGGGTCGGAACGGTACAGATGGGTTTTACTGTTTGTGCGTTCACTCCCGCTCATCCATTGACTAAGACTAATGATCACAGAACTAACTTAATCAACGCCAATATCACTCTATTCGGGGATGCACCATGTTTCTCAACACTCATCGTCACTTTAACCCGACTCTACCCGACTGATGGCGTGATTGTCGCGCGAAGCCTTGGCATCTGATCACCTGGACGGTCTCAGTGCCAACGTGTCCGCAATTTATCCAATACCCCCATGCACCTTAAACTCTAGACCCTTCTCATAGCTAGATCTCTCTATTCGATCACTTATCCTTCACGTGCAGCTACGTATCTCGTGGTTGTCGGATATTGCCTACTGTAGTGGTTCATCCGCCCTTCCAGAACGTTGCGATCCCTGATGACTCGGGGAACAAGGTCTTGACTCGGGAACTCTGTCGCTCTGGATGCGTCGTTGGATCTCTGTTGACTCGAGAACCTTTGAATTCTGCCAACATAAAACTGCTTCCATTTCTTCGTTATTGAGATCAAGCTCCGTCTTCACGATCACATGGACAGCGGTGATTCAGATGTGAATTAATGCTGTCCTGGATAGTCCACCTGTTCGGATTTCCTATTTTGCGATGTCGTAAGAATTCCTGTAGTCCCATGGGGTGACAGCGAGGTCTTCACCGGCAGGACTCCTAGAACTGCGGGAGTCTTTAGTTTCGACGTTTTAGATGAACGACTGTGTTTGCCCCGGGCTCGTGTTCGAATGTATTCTTGTTGGTTTACCTCCGTTATTGAGATGTACATGCTGTATGAATCACTTGCATACTTCGTTGTTTGACACATGCCTAATTTTACGACCCCAAGTCTTCCGCTTAGCGGATCAAATAATTCTAGAACTGAGAAGGTGTGTAGTATTTTACATAGTATAGATCCCCCTCTGTTCATTGTTTTCGTTTCTGTTATGAGCAACATAAGACTTTCAGTAGCTTCGAGTACTTACCCAAATGTCATAGATGTGTAGCGCAGTGGTGGCGCGTCACTTTATGGCTTTTGGCTGGCGGCGCAATGATGATTTCCGAAATCTTACTAGGCTCGATGAGATGGACCTTGACTTCAGGACTTGCACGATGAAGGGTTTATCACCAATGATCTATGTTGGCTCTTTCAAGCCCTAGGTACCACATAATGGTATGGAATGCGTCAAATCACTCCTTCGGAGCATTGAAGTATTCATCCTGAATTTTGCATTCCCACATAGACTCTGGCCTTCTTATAAGATACCTAAATCATCGCGAGATATGCGACCACGTTTATAAATGTATAAGGAACGGCAGTGAGAATATATTTCACTTGAACCATCTCCACAGAGACCGGTCAATTTCATCCACACCTTTCATATCCCTTGCAAGATCGTCAATTTTGCGATTTCAAGACGTAAAACTTTATAGAATAATAAATCCGAAATCCCTCTACACTACCGACGTAGTTCTGTGTGTGATTTCACTTTTGGCGCTGTCTCGATTTTCCGATGTTCTAAATATCATTTCACCAGTTTAGGGGCAATCCGCTTGGTTCAGAGGGATTTATGGCTGTACATATTATTTATGATAGAGTAACGCCGTCGTAGCGGTAATGGCAGCGCGTCGCTTTCCCACGAGCGGTAGATAGAGTTAGTCCCTACCTCTGCCGATACGAAATACTGAAATCTACTGCAGCTTACATGTCTGGCTTTCTGCTGTCTCCAGAGCCTCCATCCGTTCCCTTAACATACTCGATTTTGAAGGCAACTAAGCACAGTGGGCAGTATGTGCCAGACAATATCCTCGTAGACAAACCAATGGATTCTCTCAGTCGATGGAGCGGAGAAGGCATCGGGACGGAGCAGTGGATTCTCTTGCGGTTAGAGGCACCATCCGTTCTCAGTTGCGTTCCCTCTTCATATCCTATCCGTCGCCCTAAGGACTAACTCGATATACTCCAGAGAGCATCACATTTGGCAAAGTGAGTCGCATGCTGTATACCCACCTATGTACTGAACAAGTCTGCTCAGCTGTTCAAAGGTACGAACCACATATACTCACACATGCACACGCACGATATAACGCGTCCAAAGCCCACCCATGCAATATGAAGGACTTCAAATTCCTCATCGGCCCCTCCGAGGACAAGCTTACCGAGATCCTCAGCGCCAGCCTGAAGAACGATACAATTCCAGAAACGTTCGCGCTCAAGCACATTAATAGCGTCGGAATACCATTTCCAACGCACTATGTAAAGATCGCCCCTATCTCGTAAGGCTCGGTTTCTATCCAGCATCTTCCTATCACTTATTGACAGTGGCTGCTGTACCACCACATATCAGTTCGCACGCACCGAAGTTCAATATCTCAATATGGCACGTTTCGATGAATGGAATCAACGACCCAGTGTACGTCGCGAAAGCGCAGATAGCCTGTGAAGAGGTGGGTTGTTATTTTGGCCTCTCAGACTCAGATTAATATAATATACAGTACCGAGAGATTTCACTACGAGATATGCGACCACATTTATGACACGTATAAGGAAGAGCAGTGAGAATACTTTTCTTACTAGTTCGCTTGAACTGTCCCCACAGAGACCAATCAATTTCATCCACACTTTCATATCCCCTGCAAGATCGCCACATATCTCCATCAATGTTGCGATTTCAAGACGTAAAACTTGATAGAATAATAATTCCGAAATTCCTCTACACTGCCGATGTGACTCTGTGTGTGATTTTCACATTTAGCGTCGTCTCTCAATTTTCCAATGTTCCGAATGTCATTTCACAAGTTTTTAGACAATCCACTTGGGTCAATTGCATTTAGGGCTGTACAAATTATGTATGACAACGCCGTCGTAGCGCAATGGTAGCGCGTCGCTTTCCTACGAGCGGTAGATAGGCGAAGGTTGTGGGTTCGATCCCCATCGTCGGTAGAGGATACTACATATTTTACGAGGTTTTTGATACTTTCCTATTTTTAGGAATTAATTAAAATTTACCACATTTCAAGGTGCCAGAGGGAAGCTATCGTTTTCATGTTTGGTACATGTTCTTGTTTAGTAAAGCATGCTCATTTCGTGGAAATAATGCAAACTGGGTGAGAATAATGGTAGGATTTACCGGGTTATGAGCGTTGCCTCTTTGAATAAGTGAGTTTTTATAGGTATTAAAGTTCTTATGATTATTTTATAGAGTGATAATTTGTTCTTTCTACCAAACCCTGTTACATTCTGATTCTTGTGGAAGACTAAAAGGGAGATCAAATAAGGCTATGAATGGATGGAGTAGGAGAATATATATATGTATTGATAGGTAGGTACACATTGATATTTAGTCACATCGTTGCCTGCTAGACGTTTATAGTCATTGAGACGATTAGAATGTTCCCTATAATGGCATCTTACTGTTCCTGTAAGGGAAGCTGAGAAAATGCGAAACCGTCTAGAAATTTCACGTCATACTCTCGTTCTAGCAGTACTTCGGACACGAGAAAGCCAAGGAAGAATGCTTCGACCACCGATTGCGTCAGAATATTTGTTGCCAGATCTGAGAACTACCGGACATTCGTATTATAGCAAGATCTTAATAGAGTAGCGTAAATGAGGGTACCGTGCTTACCAATGCAATGGCTTAAAACACATAACCAGGACGTACCTAATCAAATAACAGTGAATAATGATCGTATGGCGATATAGTTATTTCAAAGTGCTCACTATCCCTCCCTGGCCACAAGAAGTGGACATCCACTTTAGTGCGTGGATTTATGAACTGCAGAGAAATGACTATCAAAGTATTAGAACTTCAATGTTCATTTGTAACATACTGTATAATCAGAAACTCCGTGCGTCTTGAGCCAAACTATCTGGTCTTCATGCGTCGTATTATTGAAGGATGGGGCAGCTTTGAGAAAAAGACCTAACCTTCATCGAATATCTTGGGAATATTCCTACATAGCTCACGATGCGGACATGGATCTCGTAGACATGCTGAGAGCGAAAGATAAACTTAACGCCCTTAGATTGACATGCAAAGCATGCCTTTAAATCGACATCAGAGACGTTCAGATATTTACGCAATATTAACGAAGAATCGCCCCGGGTCTTCCAAGTTCCACGATTGTCCAGCGCTCGCTCGCTCGCTTAGCTTCTCAGGACGTCCAGGAACGATTTCAATCGCTTGATCTAATCGCAGTTCTCCTATTGATATGAATCAGATTGGGATGTATTTTTGTAATCACAGTCACTTGTAATATGAATAGCACTTACGATAGAATTTTAATATGGAGATTGAATGGTGGTCGTCATACTTCGTAACTTTTTACAGTGTCATTCAATTATGCTATGCTTAGATAACATCGATATCATGATTCAGACTCTGATAGATTGTTCTAAACGATCCAAAAACAGTATCAGAGGGAAAGAACCAGCAAGAGAGAAAAGAATCACAAATCTTTCATTGATCTGACAAACTATGTGCTGGATTGATCAGTTTATTTCCACCAGATCCCTTCATAACACGTACACCACTCGTCTACCATGCCCTCCACGCTCGGCATTAGTACAAACGTCATATAGACAATTGACAGCATTCAGACTCCAGGTAACAATAACAATTTCTAAGGATATGCCAGCACAATAAGGACTGATTTGGATGTCAGAAAGTTATCGTGTTAGATATACCGGACTGTCAGATGCTTGATAGCTGTCCATTTTCGAAGACATTTTAAATTCCAATGAAATAAACAGATCAGTCTCACTCAATAAGATCTTTCCCTGGTGCTTCGCTCATGCAATCCTCCACTCCGAAGAGCTCCGCATCACACCTCTAGTGGCCTTCACCATCGCGCGTGCGACATCTACCGTCCATTAGACGATAATTGACGGTGTGTCCAAGAGAGAAGCGTTGGCATAGCGCATGCATATGGTCCAGAACGTATCATTTGAAGCACGGGTTCGGCATTGAAACGCAAAAGTACTGTCATATCCACCGGGAGGAGCTTTTTGAGCACTTGCATGGTATGGCATGGACGTGACATAGACATATATTATATTGCTGGATCTTGTAGTACAGCAAGAAGGTACCGGTCATCTATCTGACTGTAAGTTGATAGCATCCAGTAATATAACACATCACGCACCAGGAGAGATCAGTAACTCATGCCTCTTCGTACGTATTCGCATGAACCGTACTTCATCTCCGTCACCCTCGCTAGTTCCCACACCATCTCCTGGGTTCAGCTCTTCCAATCCCCCTTGAACGCTCTCCACTATCCTTCCCACAACCGCTGCGTACTTCCTTCCATGCTCCCCTTCAAATACGACTCCAGAATGGCGGATGATGCTTGGATGCAGCCCGCGGGTAATTAACAAGTATCCGAGCACAGACCGGTGTGCAGAGAGCATCGAAAGCGTTTGCTCTAGCTCGGGCGACATTGGTGCATGTTGCGGTGGGGTTGCGGTAGCTGGGTTAGCTGATGATGAGGAGATGGCGGGGATGAAGGAGGTGCGCGCGGTTGATGCGTCCGCCGTTGGTAGGCCCCCTGAGCCGTTTACTGCCTTCAAACAAGTTAAATACAAAATATTTGAGACAGAATTAGCAAATTAATACCATTTCTAAGTGAATATGCTGATAGGAAAGTGTAATGGTCAAGAGATCATCGAACAACGGCGCTCGTTCAAGTTCAGCATGATTGAGCCTATAGGTATCCCAACGCGTCGTTGTTTGTGGTTGTTGAATTTAGACGTCATAACCGGAACGCCCGCTGGTTCGCGACCACTGCACCATTTAGGTTTTAGTCACTCATTGAGGTTAAAAAGACAAATGATTACTCAGATGTGAGAGGTGTGGGACATGTGTCTTTGATTTAACGTCGTTATCTCATCAAAGCTCTTCAAGAAGAGTGATAAACAAGGCTTACGAGATGATTTGCGTCCCAATGAGTTGTAATTGCTAATGTCCTGCCACCCTGTTTCCTGTCAATGTCACTGGGTATTTGATTAATGACGTATTACATAGTATTGGAGTCGTACGATAGCCTAAGTTGAAGAATAAAAATGAGTTGCGTTAGCAAATTCTTGCCAGAAAAATTAAATAAGTGACATTCACCCAGATGTGAGCTTCACTTCTTGTGTTCGAGTACTAGGCTCACGTGTTGTGAACTATTAATGAATCCTTAACTTCTCTGCATTTTCCAAATGTCAACTCCCGGGTCAATAAAGTGCCGGTATGTCGTACAATCTGAGTACCAATTGTCTATCCACGTCCTTCATACTCGGCATACGCATACAGTCACAGAATTTGGCAGCGTTCAAACTTGTGTAATGACATGGAATATAAGTACATATTAAATCGCGATAAGGTCAATGCCAGACGGTCTGCCCACCATCCTACTTTGAGTACATCTATCTATATCTGAGCAGTAAGCACTGGCACAAGTAGATTTATAATTCCAAAGCATAAAAATAGAACGCTCACTCGGAATACAGTCCCACCACGGAATCTTTAATCGGGATGCGGGGCGACCATTCCATCTGCTCACTGCTGACCACTTCCATCCGCCCAGAGAAGTCTGTATCATCATCCTCTGGCAGCCTTCCCTGCCGCCACAGCATATGTTCCTGCGAAAATTTCCTTCCAAGTTGAACACCCTCCGCCACAACATACACCTCACTCGCCTTCCATCTCGCCACTTCCCCATCCAATATTTGCGTATTCCGCCTTCTCCGGAATTGATGGAAGGCGGTTAACTCAACAGACATGGACAGATGCGGAAGCCATGAACATGACTCCCGAGGCTTAATTAAAAATTAAAAATTAAAAATACCCTAAGGTCGGCCCCGATCCGATGGTGGAGTAGGAATTTTGAAGTCCCGGACATGGCTGGAGTATTAATTTAGAAATGGCATCTGTAATGGAAGCCAGTGTGTCGTACATAAGCGCGACGACAACCAAGAACTAATTTGGGTATGTTTTCGCTTTAGGGATAAGTCGAAGGAATGTTACTGTGGCGGGGCAAGGGCACTTGAAATTTACGCGATCCTGAGGGTTTAATTAAAGATTAGTGGTGCCGTCATTTCGGTAGATTAGTTGGAATTAATGATCGGGCTTGAGGAGTTGCAGTGATTATATAGAAAGCTCCCTGATATAAAGGCCTCGAGGCTCGAACAGCGAAAATATCTGACGCGTGAGCCATCAATGATGTTTTGTTCGCTTTATCCCAAACCAAATTATGGACACAATTATCAATGTTGAGTAACTTCTAGTGCATTTTGAATATTAAGCAGGACGAAGCGAGCTTCTTGTAATATTCAACCAATAATAGGGGTACGTTCAGAAATAATACCCGGATTTCCAAAATTATCTTCAAACGAGCTATATTTTCGCTCATAAAAGCAGTTTGGCAATCATTTAAAGGTATAATACCGCAAGGCAGCCTACAACGCGCATGATGCATGTCATTAAAAGCAAGCTTCATGCTTCAAAATGCTTGTCCATCTGGATCTAGGGTAGGCGTGGTACGATGTCCAATAGAATAATGTCCGGTCTCTCAAGGATCTTCCACCACCGACATCTCGTAAATCTTCAAAGTTCAGAGTGACTGGTCTGGAGCTGAAGCATGAGATACAGGCAACTGGGGGCCGGTGATCAGATAATTTGGTACATTTGAAGAGATCATCTTGTGGGCATCCCAAGGGCTGAGCCTATAGGACAGCACTGTTCTCGTACGAAAGGCGAAAAGGATTCGCAGAAAGTGAGTCCAGACGTGGACCAATCAACTTCAACTTGACAGGGTATGAATTCTATTTATGACAATGCAGAGGATACACAACCCAGCAGCCAGAGAAGTTAACAAGTCCTACTTTATCGCTGACATATTAGCTCGAGCAAGATGTGTTGCGTGGGTGGAACACTTCGCGAAGCCAGCTCTCGTCGA